TGCGTTCCCAATTCAAGGGGCTTGCAATTCAATCCCTGGTCAGGGAACTAGACCCCACATGCTGTAACTAAAACCCAATGCAGCCAAATAAATAAATATCAAAATATTAATAGTACAAATAAAAGATAAAATAAAAATTCATTATCCATGTCAAAAAAAAAAAAAGAAAAGATCTGGCACCCCTGGGCCAAGCTCTGGCCAAAGCAGAGTAGCAGCTGCTCTTTAGACCAGACGTCCACTGCTCAGTCTAACCCAGGCCCCACTGCTCCCCCAGCACAGTTGGCCCCCAACTCATTTTGCTTCCCTCTCTGGTTTCTGAAGGCCTTTGAGTCCGAGGGCTCTTATCTGCAACCAGGGTCGCTCGGTGGATCAGGTGAGGACAGTAACACCCGCCCACATTCCAGGTCACTAATCCAAACCTGCACAGTCTGACACGCCAGCCAATGGCCTCACTGAGCACTTAAAACATGGCTGAGGTGGCACAGACAGATTTTAGTTTAATTTTTCATAATTGTTTAAAATAATAGCATATCGGCCAGTGCAGATCTAGACCAATAGAGATCATAAGATTGAAAGATTTTGTTACTCACACGAGTGTTGGTCTATTATTAAGCTACTTAACTTCTCCGAGCCTCAATTTTCTCATCTGTGGAAAGGGATATCAGTAACAGCACTGTGGAAGTGAAATGAATGTCTCCTATAAGAGCACGTACGGTAAACAATGTATAAGAGACTTTTCTTGCTTTTCACCTTTTGGGAGACTAGGCAAGCAGTCGGGCAAGCCGCTGATCAAACTAGTTGGTTCTGTGCTGCAACCAGCCATATTCCCTCAGGCATTTCCTTTCCACAGATGACAAAATTGAGGCTCTGAGAAGTTAAGTAGCTCATAAATGCCCCCGTGGCAGATCTAAGACTGAAATCCAGGTCTCCTGACACCAAATTCTATGTTGATGTCACAGCGAGGACATTATAAGAAGAGAACACTATACAAGCAGATAAAGCTATTCTCTTGTGAAACATAGAGCCATTTCTTTTTTATTCCTTTTTAAAAACATTTATTTACTTGGCTGCCCCAGGTGGTAGTTGCAGCGTGCGGGATCTTTAGTTGCAACATGTGGGATCTAGTTCCCTGACTAGGGATCAAACCTGGGGCCTCCTGCATTGGGAGCGCAAAATCTTAGCCACTGAACCACCAGTGAAATCCCTGGAGCCATTGCTGAAAGCAAACACCAGCACAGCTCTTTGGATGAGTTCTGTAAGGTGTTCACCGTGCTAGCGTGTGAAGCAGGCTTCGTCCACATGATGCACTGAGACCAATGTTGGGCTTCTGTCCTCACCAAGGGGCCCGGGTACCAAGTCCTCAGTCCCTGGAAATAAGTCTCCTGGTTGCAGACTTTGGGGAGGCTTGCAACTCTAAAGCAAAGCGTGTGAGTCTCTCTGAGTTTCATTTTTCATATATTCAGAGTTTTATTTTCCTCCTTCCCTTACAACATTCCAACCCCTGGGCTCAGAATTCACACTGAATGAGGCTCCCAGATGCAGAGAAACATCCTTTAATTCTTGGTTCTCCTCACAGCCCACATCCCCACTCCCTGAAGAAACCTCACCCTGCACACATGCCCGGAACGTGCCATGGACTCTAAGTCACTGAGGATTTCCATGAAATTTACTGACTCTGAGACTTGTGAGACATTGGAAACTGAAGCCCTGTTGCCAGAAGCATGTGTTCAATTCTGTCCAGTGGAAATAGAATGACAGAATTTTAAGTTGAGAAGAAGCCTTCCGAGTCCACTCCCACCCAAGGCAATGGAGGGATGGGTGTGCACACGTGCTCAGTCGTGTCCCGCTCTTTGTGATCCCATTGACTGTGGCCCACCAGGCTCCTCTGTCCATGGGATTCTCCAGGCAAGAATACTGGAGTGGGTTGCCATTTCCTTCTCCTGGGGAATCTTCTCAGCCCAGGGATAGAACCGGCACCTCCTGCGACTCTGGCATTGGCAGGTGGACTCATTACCACTAAGCCACCTTGACTCACCCAAGGCAGAGTCAAATTTAAACCCCCACTGACAGCCCCAACATGCTGCCCTTTTTGGATCTTTCACTCCCCAGACAGACACATGTAGGGAGAAAATTCATGTTTTCTTTATTCTCTTCTTCAGCTTTTCAATTTGTTATTTCTTTTCTGTTTGGAATCAACAACTAAGCAGTGATAGGATTTGTAGATTTCATCTTGTCCTTGACAAAGCAAGAGCAGGTGTAGAGGACAAAGCAAGTGGGATGTGACTGAGAAGGGTGGGCAGCAGGAAGACTGGTGAAGACCTGGCCGAGGACCTGCTGTTGGCCCCACGCCTCCCACTGCATCTCCTCGAACCCAAGTACTTGGAGCTCCTGAGGCCTGAGGGGACCTGTGGTCTGGGTCGACCTCACTGCCCTTACCTTTGAATGGATGGCTCACCCTGGGCCTTGGCCAGAAACTGCGAGAGGGGGTGGGAGCAAGATGGAATTTGGAAGAAATGGTATAACATGAATGAACCTTGAAAACTTTGTTAAGTAAAAAAAGCCAAACCCGAAAGTTTATACTTTGTGTAATTTCACTTATATAATATGTACAAGATATGCAAACCCAAAGAGACAACCAACAAACATGGAAGTTGCCAATGGCTGTGGGGAAAGAAGAGGAGTGACTCCTCTTGGGTACAAGATTATCCCTCCATCCAGCACGTCACGCCAACTAGAATACTTTTTCTCTCCATTTACCCTATGACTGGCTTCTTCATGAGGTCTCACCAGGTTTCCATCCCATTATTCAGTTGAATTGTTGTACCTCTTCTCATTTTCCAAAATTCTCCAGTGTATTTGTTCATTAGCTTGCTGTCTATCTCACCCACTAGAACTTCTCTGTCCGATACAGTGGCCACATGTGACCAGGAGCTGTTGCCTGTTGTGCAGAAAGCATTGTCTGCACTTCAGGAAGCTCTCTTAGGTAGCGCTGCACTAGACTGTAAGCACCATCAGAGCAGGGTCCTAATTTTCTTGGTCACTGCAAGATCTCTAGCATCTAGAACAGTACCTAACATACAGTAGACTCACTAAGGAATAAGCAATGACAATGAACTGAATGAATGAATGAACTGGAAGGTTTGTCAGATGGGCAGCAGTGGAAAGGAGATAAGGGAATGCTGAAAACAGTCTGAACAGGACAGAAAATAGGAGTAAGAAAACAAGACATTTGTTCAGATTCTTCTCATCATTCTCTACTCCAATATTTCATGTGGAGACTATCAACTATGATAGTCTCCATAAAGAACATTTTTATCTTAATTTCTTTTCTACATTTTCCTGTTGCAGAATGTGTTCAATATTATAATTTGACACAAAATAGCATACCATCATGAAATACACAGAATGCAGTGAACTTTATGGATTTACTATTAACTTCGTTTTCATATCCAACCTATTAATTCAGTGGAGAGTACTACTGACAAGGTAAAAATTTAGTTTGATAAAGAAACTTTGATGGGATTTTCCTGGTGGTCCAGTAGTTAAAACTCTACATTCTCAATGTAGGGGTTCTGGGTTTGATCCCTGGTCAGAGAACTTGATCCCACATGCTACAGCTAAGACCCAGTGCCGCCAAATAAATTAAAAAACAACAATAAATTTTAAAAGAGCCTTTGACTCTTGAAGAATTTTTAAATAATCCTTTGTTTCATCAAACTACAACATAAGAATTGCATTTATTTTATGGCTTTTTTTCTTTTACTAATATTGAATGCAAACTCCGAGAGATGGCGAAGGACAGGGAAGCCCGGCANTCATCTAATCAGTCTATTAAAGTGAGAGTTTTAATATTTGGAGCATAGGGATACCAGTGTGGCCTTGGAAAACACCAAAAAGCACTAGACGTGACAGGAGTCATTTTCACACATAATTACTAAGGGCTGGGTGCATGCAAGATAAGAAAAAAAGATGTTGCCTCTGCTTCTAAGAAAGTTGAGGAGAGAAAGTAGCAAAGTTTTTGGATATCTTTTAAGTGCTGGCCTTTTCCAGCCTCCACCGTTCAACCTGGGTGGGTGCTATTCTTACCCCTATTTTATGATGAGCAAAGAGGCACCGTCTCTGTCTCAGGTCACACTGCTGTCCTGTGCAGAGCTATGAGCTAAGCCCAGAGCCCATGGTCTCCCCACGCTGTAGGTACCACTTCACAAGATGTCAGATGCTGGACTTGCCTAGTGGTCCGGTGGTTGAGAATCTGCCTGCTGATGCAGGAGACACAGGTTTGATCCCTGGTCTGGGAGCAACTAAGCTCGTGTGCCACAACTACTAAAGCCCACACCCTGCAACGAAGAGTAGCCCCCATTTGCCACAACTAGAGAAAGCCTGCAGCAATGAAGACCCATAAATCTTTAAAAACAAAATTAAGAATCTGAGTGGAGTGCTTATAGAAATCTTTAGTGTTGCTACTGTATCTTTTTAAAATATGAAATTATTTCAAAAAGAATTTAAAGGTCTTTAAACTACAGACTGAGCTCTGTAGAGCCCTCACCAAGCCTCTGAGGTACTGTCACTTATGGAATTCCTGGTCACTTTCTCCTTATGTATCAAAGATGACTTCACCCACTCAATACCCTAGTCTTTCTTTTCCTCGACCTATTCATCTAAAGCAAATTTTCTGCCTCTTCTCAGCCACCTCTGAAATCTTGAATTCAAGTACCCAAATTATAGCTTGTCTACCTAAAGTCCCAGTCCAAAAATTCTTTGAGTTCACTGAGACATCCAATCCACTAATAATACCGTTCTTCCAGTATCCATCACCTACCCCCTTCCCCACATCGTTTACTACCCTCCTCCTTTACCCAACTTCCAGGTCCAACACTTAGATATTCTCTTGCAAACAACTCCCTTGGCCATCTCACCCTCTGTTCCACTCACCTGCAAGACTCAATATTCCTTAAACTACAGAAAAAGATAACTATTGTAGGGGGGAAAATCTTACAAACATGCTGACTGGCCCATTGAAAACCATAAATACAGGGGCGGTGCCCCCAGGGAGCGACCTGAGGGCCAGACTGCGGGCGGAAAAGGGCAGCGCCCCCGCCCAGGGTTCGTGAGGCTGCCCATGGAAGGCTAATACCCCCACGAGAGCTGTTCGGAAGGGGGCGCGGACGGCTTTGGATGGCGGAAGATTGGGAGCGAAGGAAAGAGCGTTTTCCTTGCCAGTGAATCGTGTAGAGTACACTTGTCAGTCTCTTGTCTTCTCTTCACCACGGCTGCTTCTGATATCCAGGTGAAGGAACTGGAGAACCGTGCCTCAGGTCAGGCTTTTGAGCTGATTCTCAGTCCTCAATCAAAAGAATCTGTCCCAGAACTTCCCCTTTCCCCTCCTAAGAAGAAGGATTTTTCCCTGGAGGAAATTCAGAAGAAATTAGAAGCTGCAGAAGAAAGACGCAAGTCCCATGAAGCTGAGGTCTTGAAGCAGCTTGCTGAGAAACGGGAGCACGAGAAAGAAGTGCTTCAGAAAGCGATAGAGGAGAACAACAACTTCAGTAAAATGGCGGAAGAGAAGCTGACCCACAAGATGGAAGCCAACAAAGAGAACCGGGAGGCACAAATGGCTGCCAAACTGGAGCGTTTGCGAGAGAAGGACAAGCACATTGAAGAAGTGCGGAAGAACAAAGAATCCAAAGACCCTGCTGATGAGACTGAAGCTGACTAATTTGATCTGAGAACTGACTTTCTCCCCCTCCCCTTCCTAAATATCCAAAGACTGTACTGGCCAGTGTCATTTTACTTTTGCCCTCCTGACAAATATTCTAGAAGCTGATGTAGGACTGTATAGGTAGATCCAGACGGTATGATGTTGTTCTAGGGGCTAAAGGGGAGAAACGAAAAGTGTTTTACTCTTTTTCTAAAGTGTTGAAGTCTTTCTAATGTAGCTATTTTTCTTGTTGCATCTTTTCTACCTCAGTACACCTGGTGTGCTGGGTTAATGGCTAGTACTGTATTGGCTCCGTGAAAACATGTCTGTGAAAAGAGTATGTAGTGGCTTCTTTCAAATTGTTAGATGCTGATTATCTGTTCACTTTTAAATCCCAATTCTGTCCCGATCTTACAGACGCTACTGTACTTGAATGGTTAATAAAGCTGCACAGTGCTGTTGGTGGCAGTGGAAAAAAATAAATAAATAAATACAAATGGACATTAATTCTCAAGTGGAAACTAATACTACCAGACACCCTTTTTTCAAAGTCTCAGTCCCAGTGTTGGAATCAAGATCTTTGGTCATATTTCATTGCTGGCATTCCAATAATCATTGGGAAAGGAAGACCGTGAAAGTGTGACACAGAATGTCCCTGTGACTTATTTCTTTTCATCCGTATTGTATTGTCATGATGCAAACAGAAAAAAAAAAATTCATTTGGACTTTGTAAAATGAATTCCAATCCTTTCACATCTTTTAAAAAAAAATTATTATTATTCACAGGCATCACCCAGATCACCCAGCCTTCTTAGTGATTCTTTCTGACATTGCTCCAAGATCAAGTCCCAAATTCAGAAAGAACACTTGGAAATGGTATGTGTCTGTCATATAAGAGATACTATTTGGTCTCTACCCTGTTTCCTGGTACCTGGAATCTCTGAAGTGGTACATTTCTTGCTGTTTGCTAATGAGATGACTGGGAGCTCCTGGACAGCCTCAGGGTGGGGGCTGGTTGCCAAGGGAACCAAACCTGTGATTAGAGAGTTGGAACTTTCAGTTCCACACCTTAATCTCTGGGGAAGGAAGAGGAGCTGGAGATCAAGTTAATCACTATAGACCAGTGATTTAATCAGTTGTGCCTACAGTAATGAGGTCTTCATAAAAATAAAAATAAACCCTAAGCGAAGGGGTGTGGTGAGCTTCTGGGTTGCTGAATATGTGCAGGTGCCAGAAGGCCCTGTTCTCCACTTGGGCATCTCCTCCATCTGGCTTTTCCTGAGTTGTGTCCTTGTACAATGCACTGTAATCTAGTGAGTCAACTGTTATTCTGATTTCTGTGAGCTGTTCTAGCAAATTATTGGGCCTCTAGTTTATAGCTGGTCCATCAGAATCACAGGTGACAGTCTGGACGTGTCAGCATCTGAAGTGGAGGAGGGAAGTCTTGAGGGCTTGAGCTCTTAAACCTGTAAGATCTGACTCTAATTCCAGGCAGTGTCAAAACTGATTTAAAGGACCCATAATTGGTGTCCCTAAATAACTGGAGAATTGCTTGTTGTAAGCGGGGGATAAAAATTCATATTAGGAGACCAGACGAGTTTTTCCACACAGCGTCCCTAACACCAGTGCCAATCAAAACATGGTACTGGTCCAAAATGAATTAAGTACAGAAACTGAGAGTAGGCGCCCAGAAACACTTTACAGGAACTTGACATTGGTGCAACATCCAAGCTTGGGGTCAGCAGCAAAGGGCAGAGACCACGCAGGTTTTGTCTCCCTCTCAAAGGAAAGCTGCAGGCCTGAGCCGAGTAGGAGTCACAAACAGCAGGACCATGTACTATTTTAACCGAAAGCATATGCAAAAATCTAAAAAACATAAGCACTTCCTTTTATAACTTGTAGTTTTTACAATGATGTTGATTTTTAATCAGGTTATTTTTTTGAGTTTATAATTTTATACTACCACCTAAACTGGGAAAGTAATTTATATTGTTTATTAGCTTGCTTTTTTATTTTTACCATTTAAAAAGATCTAATAATGTTTACAATCATGATAGTAGATAAATTTTGGCAGTTTGGTTACTTACCAATCAGTCTTTTTTTTTTTAGTTTGAAATACTTTGCAACTTTCAGAAGAGTTGCAAGAATAGTACAAAGAATCCCCATAAAACCTTTAACCAGTTTTTAATATTTCACCAATTTGCTTCATAATTTCATGTGTACTTATTAATATAACATCAGATGTTCTAGTATACTTATTGATGGAACAAAAAACATAAATGACATAAAAGCTAACACTTTGACATCAAGAATATAATCTTTATGATAATACAGAAGCTGATCATAAACAACTATTATCATTTGCTGAAGTACAGTGGTTACCGAAATGGGAAGTTTTGTTGAGAACGTTTGAACTCAGGAACAAACTCTTAATTTTAAAAGTTGGCTTCTTAAGTGGGAAAAGAATTTGAAAAGGAATAGATACATGTATATGTATAACTGAATCACTTTGCTGACACCTGAAACAAACACAACACTGTTAATCAACTATGCTCCAATATAAAATAAGAAGTTTAAAAACATAAAAATAAAAGTTTGCTTTTCTTTCTTAAAGATACAATTTAAACAGCTGTGTTTACTTATTTGCCTGATAGCTTCAGTACTTTAAATGATTTTAATGCTTTCGTGCAACTTTTTCAATGGCAAATAAGATCGAATGGTTATAACTTGGAAAAACAAAATTTATAAAGACTGTATTAACATTTACCATAACTTAATAACATTCATCAATGAATACTTTAGATAATGGAATGGAATGTTTTTCATTATATTTTCATCAAAAGATGAAAATGTATCTTGATCTCATTTCTTTCATCAATATATAACTTACTTTTAACTATAATAATACAGAATGAATTGTTAAAATTGACTACTTACAAAGAATTGAAGCTCAATTATGGAAATATAGCTTCCCTTGCTTCACTATACATTAAGGTAAAATGTAGTATCTTGAACCTGCCCCTGTGAACTGACTTCTCTACTATATATGTTATGAAAACAGAACATAGGAACAGTTGATACATACATTAACCCCTGTCACTAATACTGTCATCAATTCAATTTAGATTAGATAAATTTTAACAAGTGAGAAACAAGTTCACTTAACACATTAAAAGCCTATTGTTTCTATATAGCAAGCATTGATACACATTTATATCAAATACTTGGTACAAAACTTAAATATTGATACATATAGTTTTGTTCAAAACTTCATTCAGGCATTTAACATGAGGAACTAGCAGTTTCACTCTATTTAGTTTTGTTTACACTTGCAATGAATTATATGTACAGTTATTTTCTTTTCCCTATGTTCTGTTTGTTCTGATTATATTTCTAAAATGCTATGTGTTGACTCATTTAAAAATCACAAATTGTGTTTTGAGTGTACTTTTATAACTTTTTTAATAATTTTTTGTTGTATTTTACAAAAGTATTGGCCACAACCAGTTGGAAATGACAAATGTTTCACTACAGGTAATTTGTTCAGCATGGCTATCCCTTGGACATTCCCTAGATGACCACTAGATGGTGACCAAGGATCTTCTCCCTGACGGCTTGTGTGATCTTTGGAATGGCTCCTTCAATTGAGAAAGAAGGCATTTCATGTGCTAAAGCTTCTCCATGTAGTCTGGCAGAATTGTCAGACCTTTCCTATTTCTGAAGCCCATAGAGAAGGCAATTCAGTCTCCCTTATATGGGATGTGCTGCGTGCTAAGTCGCTTCAGTCGTGTTCAACGCTGTGCGACCCCATGGACTGTAGCCCGCCAGGCTCCTCTATCCATGGGATTCTCTAGGTAAGAATACTGGAGTGGGTTGCCATGACCTCCTCCGGTCTTCCCAATCCAGGCATCGAACCTGCGTTGGCAGGCAGGTTCTTTACTACTAGGGCCACCATATGTAACTGTTGAGACTGACTGATACAAATGAAGATATGGATGTTCATACTGATATGTTTTGCCAGTTGTTGATAGGCTTCCCACATGCACAGGAGCTTATCCATACACCAAAGTTGTTGAAACAATTGCCGTCACACCTCCCCATGACACTTGACTGCCACTCGCTCAGGAACCACTCACAGAATGTTCCTGTATTTAAAAATAAGCTGTAGGAGTTCCCTGGGGGCCTGGTGGTCAGGACTCTGGACTGTCACTGACTGCCATGGCCCGGGTTCAATCCCTGGTTGGGGAATGGGGATCCTGCAAGCCATGTGCTACAGCCAAAATAAATAAATAAATAATAAAAATAAACTTGATGCTATTATAAAAGCACAAATGAAATATGCTAAAGCTTCCCATTCACAGGTATGAGAACCCAACCCAGATAAGCCTCCATAACCAGAGCGATTCATTCCTTCAGCCACTGGAAGGGTGATAAAGATCTGCTTATCACCAACATTTTTATAAACTGCCAAGGCCTTTAGCTTTCAGAACATTCCTCCCCTGTAAAAAGACCTGTACCAATGCGGCAGAGGGGGCTTCCTTGGTGGCTCAGCAGTAAAGAATCTGCCTACAATGCAGGTGAGCTGAATTGTATCCCTGGGACAGGAAATCCCCTGAAGAAAGAAATGGCAACTCCCTGCAGTATTCTTGCCTGGGAAATTTTATGGACAGAGGAGCCTGGTGAACTACAATCCATGGGGTCGCAAAGAGTTGGACAAGACTCAGCAACTAAACAACCATCATGGGGCAGACAAGAAGAATGAAAACCTGTCTGTGACCAAAAGTTTATATCATCCCCTGTAATAAATTATTCAGGCTTCCAGGTCAGCTACTTGTGGCTGGAATCCTGATGTCCAGCTTGGTTTTCCTGCCTTGGGGACTTACGCTGTCCACTCTTCAAGGTGGCCAACGTCTCCTATCACCTTTCAAGTGAACAGAAACTTCCTCGTCGCCTTATCTAACCCTGACCATGTCTGTCTAAGCCATCTGGCAACCAGCTTTGGGAGCTGAACATGCTGGAAACCTCTTCTCTGTCAAGGGCAGTGTGTGGCAGACTGGCAGCCCCTGGTAATTACCCCTGCACAGCAGAAGGCGGTCACCCACTGATGGCAGTAACCTCATGGTCCCCTGACAGCCATGAGTCTCTCTGGTATTGAGATGGGACAAAGAGAATATGTAGCTGTGGACTAGAGAGGAGTTTGCCTGATTAAATTCAGGGGACCAAACTTTGAAAAACACTTCCTTCTTGGATTGATGATTTCTAGTTGATGATTTTAGGAAATGTTTACTTTTTTAAAGCTTTTTAAAATTAATTACCATTTATTTATTTGGCCGTGTTGGGTCTTCATTGCTGGGCAGGCTTTTCTCTAGTTGTAGTGCGCGGGCTTCTCTTATTGGGGAGCACAGGCTCTAGGGCGTTCAGGCTTCAGTAGTTGTGGAGCATGGGCCTAGTTGTCCCGCGGCA